TTACGACGATACATTTTTCGGATATATATATATATATATATATATATATATATATATATATATATATATATATATATATGTATGTATATATATATATTCCTGTTTTTCTGTGTACGTACTATATATACGAACTATTAGATGTATCTTTCTTGGATAATATGTGCGTTTAAACATATATTCGAAAAAATCTGGAAGAAAAATCTGGACTAATTATAAGAAGAATGAAATATTGGATATCCTACGAGTTCATCGTTTCCTTGCATCATTCGAAGCTTATCCCAGCATTTCCCAGAGAAAGAGAAAAACGAAAGATCCCAGATCAAACCGACAAGATCCTTGCTTGAATTCCTTCCAACTAGTTCCTGTTGACTTGACGAAGACAGACAAATATCTCGAAATTGAGTGAAGAAAATTTGAAGTCGCGGACTGGAATTACTTGCAGGATCATCGAAGCCGAATGTAACCGTAATCGCCGACGCACGAGAGACCTCGACTCCTTCCTCCGAGCCGGATACGCGCGTGAGATTTCCGATCGACCTTGATCGAACTCCACCTTGGAATACTTATCGACACACTGACGAACTTCACTCGCCGAATCATTTATATTCGGAATCGATGCACGATCAACAGGAATCTACGAACATTCTTATGGAACGAGACGCAAGAGTTCTGAGTTCCGTGTTTCCAACGTGTCCCGGGACCACTGGCAATTCAGAATTCCCGGAAGAGACGGTGAAGGGCGTCACTGCGTATCCACCATTTCCGTGCCCGTTCTGCGACAGAGCGTACACTAGTTGGGGTTTTCGTCGAAGGCACATCAAAGCCGTCCACACGATTTCACCGTCTTTGAACTGCAAATGGTGCTTGCAGGTGCGTAGATAACGATTACATCCTACATCACAGTAACGATTACGATTACGTTCGATAAGATGTGAAGGTGTAAATGCAATCCATTTCAGGTTCTTCCCACGCATGCGGCTTGGAGACGTCACGTAATATTAGCGCACAATTTGTCTGCGAGCGACGCGCATAATGGTCTCTTAATTTTGGAGGAAGCGCACATGGTTTTACAAATCGCGCATCCTACTAGGTTAGACACCTTAGTTAACATAATTAAACAAAATTCTCAACAGAGTAACAATCAAGAGAATACTCAGTCGGACAAAGATTGAATCGAAACATTGGATTGTTGTGTATCGACATGATCGGGCTGTCTATATTCGGGTTCGGGGCACGGATTCGTTCAGACAGAAGGAAAGCTACCTTGTACAAAATTACGGGATAAAACAAAAAATAAAAATTAAGTTATTCTCGTTCTCAGAGAACGCATTAATGAACCAAATTTTTTTACAATTGCCTAATCGTCTTTTTTATATATGTACGTATTCTGGTATATGTATGTATTTTCGTTGTATATATCGCTTTTACAATTATTATCGATGGTCAGTATCACAAAATATTTTTATTGTCGTATTAACTAAATTTTTGTAAAAAAAAAGAAAAAAAATAAATATTTAACGTACATTAAAGTACTCCTTCCGTCACTATGTTTACCAAAGGAAGGCGAGGTGTAGTTTAAACAGTTAAATCACTATGTTACTTTTTAATTCTTTATTTTTTAAAATGTTCTTAACAATCGTGCATCAGTCAGTTGACATTTATAAATACTATATACTTCGTAAAAGTGACAGGAGTTTCGTGCTATGCAATAGAGCCGATCGTGCAAGGTGCACTTTCTCGATAATAATTCGGTTTTTTCCATAAATGAGCATCGTTGCGTGCGATGAAGGGTTTTGAAGGCAAAAACTTGAAACAAAAACTTTCAAGTTAATTTTATGACACTCTCGTGTATTGTTGTAACCATTTGTTCAAACTGAATTCTTGTTGTTATTATCGCGATTCCATTTGTAATAATGCGAATAGCTTGTTAACGTTTTTTTTTTAACAAGAGTGTGTGTATGTGTGAGTGTGTATTTTATCCAAGGCTAATAAAAAAATAACGGTCAAGTATTGTATATCGGTAGGGAGCATTGCTAACTGTTGGAGAAGACAGGCTCATGGAAAAACGAATCGTTCGATGAAAATTATTGTACATTGGACAAAAGTGTCAACTTTATGGATCGCTCGAGGCGCGAATGAAAGTTACAAAAGAAGTTTATCGTCGAATCGTTACAGTAGTTCTTTTCTATTTAAAAGAGAAAGAAAAGGAAAGTATTAAAAAAATATACGTATGTACACATTCGTGGATAAAAAAATTTCTCCCCGAGTCAGCAACGGTAGTGAATTGGGTATCGATCTTTTTAAATCGTGCATTTGTTTCCATCGGGACAGCTACAGGTATCTTGCAGGCTTCTCTTTTTTTTTTCTCACGGTATTAGCAATTCCAACTGGTCCAGTTTTTACCGTGGTTCGATACATGAAGAGTTTTCGTTGTTGGCTCGAATTTTACAACTCGGCCACGTAACCCTCGACGACGATTCCCGGTGCAATCTCTTCGGTGACACTTTCCGAGGTTACGTTGCCTCGACCTCTGGTCCCCATTCGATCTTCTCCCCAAGCTCCCTCCTTCCCATATTTCTCGGACATTCTGACCATTTCGTTGGGACTCCATTCGGGAGAGTCTCTGCGACTACCTCCGCTTCTGTATACAACGTTCGATTCGTTTTCGCGATTCCCACGATATCCTGTACTTGGCAGTGGTGACGGAGAATGAGAATAACTATCGTAAACGGGTGTACGTTTCATCGACGCTCGATGATGACTCGTTTTTCTCAGCATCGCCTGTTTTGAACCAACGTCGGTGATTAATTCAAATACTTACATATATATTCACGTATATATTTTAGATATACGCGTTCCTGTGTAATTTTTTTGCTTTATCTCACCTGAAAGTTAAACGGTGGTTCGTCGGTGTCTTCGTTACCGTCGTAGTTGTTTCTACGACCGATCATCTGCAGTTCCTGAATCGGATTGATACTGCAACGAAAACGCAAAGAAATTTCTGTCAGGATTGTCGAATCGCGATAGTTTATCAGTTTTACTTAGCGAGATCGAACCGATTAGCATTGCCGCTACTCCTGTTAGTTTTATCATCGTATTCCCAATCGTGGCTACCAGCGTCTATATTTTTACTTCGAATATTCGAGCTATAACTGTCGGTACTGCGCGTCGGGGGTGGTTGTGACTGATTGAACGGAACAGGTGGAGGCGGTGCGTGTTTCCTAGAGCGTATCGATCCGGTACTATCGTAATTCTGAAAAGAGAAAGATGGCGAGAGAATGTTGCGGCAAGCAAGGTTTGAGAATTGATGAAACTTACTGAGCGAGGATTATGAACGTTAGCAGGTGGTACAGGGCTACGGTTGGTCGAATGGTGTTGAAATCCAGAGTTACCCATTCTGCTTCGGGACGTCTCTTCGGGTGGACATCGGACCGAGATATTCGGGTCTCTGGAAAACGGAGTGTCGATCAGACTCTGTCCCTCGGTGCCCGAATGCGCCACTCGATGTGGCGAGTTCGTTGTCTGAACCTCGACGTCTGAAAAATGCAGAGCAATCCGATGGAGAGTGAGTTCTCTCCGCGAAGACGAGTCGCCACTCGGCTCAGGCAATCGAGATTTTCTCGTATTTTTTTTTTTTTTTTTTTTGTTTTGTGTTTTTTCGTACTTTCGATTCCCAACACGCATCTTTTAAACGACATAGTCTTGCGAGACAATTGTTATCGTTATCGACAATTCGAAATTAGTTATTGTAATTGTACGAATTGGATTAATTGGTCGAACTGATCGTAATTACGACTGAAAGAGAAAGAGAATTTGATGAAAACGTGCCGAGTCCAGACGAGCTACGGATACACAGAGTGACACGGAATCAGACACGTCTGTCGTTCGTTTTGCATAAAGAGCTTGCAAAGAAGATTATCTATCCAAGAAAAAATATATCCGCTGCCCATCCTGTATGCGTACTCGACGAACTCGGATCAGGTAAAAAGAAAGAAGAATGATATTTGAAATGTACGAAAAAGGTATGAAAAAGAATTCTGTTCTCGCGTGAACGAAAGTGTAGGAGCGAGTATCGGTATCGATGCACCTCGACTGAACGAAACAAAATGTGATAGGCACCTCTGGTACGACTGTTCCTGTTGGCCCAAGGCATTGTTTGTCTCCGTAATGGCGCGTCCCAGGCTTCGTGCTCGTCGTCAGACGTTGATGACGACGCGGATCTGCGAGAACGTATTTCTCAGTTGACGGCACAAGTCTCCGAAGAGTTCTTAAGCGACTCTTACTCGAGATAGAGACGGCACACAACGGAGAACGAAAAATAATGACAAAACATCGCGCGTACATAAAATGCAACCGCGACAGACATGTTGGGGACAAAAAATAAGCAAGACACATCAAAAATTGTTAAATTTTTGCATTTCAATATTTTGCCTCGTGTCAATTTCTTGGCGACAAAACGCGTGCAAGACAATATATGCGACAGCTACGTACGATACGATTAATGGTGAATGATGTCTAACGATGAGGGTCGATACTAATTTTATTAGAACGATATTTCTCGTCTAAGCTTCTCTATCGATTTCGGGCCCGTTGGCCCGGGATTTCTGATACATCTATCTACCGCTAATGCAAGAACATCCATAGAAAGAATAATGTAAGATTGACTCACCCAACACCTTTCATTTGTCTCTTCATGTCGGGAAAAGGTAACTCTTGATAAAAGTTGAAAGGTAACTTGTGCACTTGGGGCGGTTTCAAATGGCCTAAGTACGTTGATTTGGAAACGTTTGTATCTACTCGATCTATAGATATTTGTTTATTCGTCGTCGCGAGAGACGCTACTATTGCTTGATTGAACAGATGCACCTGTTTGCGAGAAAATTTTCAGATGAAATCATTCGGGCGGGGGGGGGGGGGAGGAACTAAACGGTCTTCCCTCGCGGAAATCGCATAGATCACTCACTTGTTGCGAGAATTGCACGAGGTCTTGATAACGGGCTGCACGGTAACGTAGGAGGACTTGGAACACGCTCTTCGACCTCCACTTGCTGCTGTAGAATTTCATCATGTCCATCGTTTCCTGACTCATTTTCTCCTTCCCGAGAAGAGGCCCCATCTCCTTCCTCACTGTGTGCCCCCTGTATGCTAGTTTCCATATAAAAGAGATCGTTCGATCAAACAACTTTGAAAAAAGGAAACAACACCGCGAGCGAATGAAACGAAATGCACGAATGGAAATGGCAACTATTAGGCTCGTCAAAAATCAAATTTTGTTTTTCGCTCGCTTCTCGTTCTTTATCCGTCTCCCCTACCTTTCTGAATCATCACCGCTGCCTGATCTTCCGACAGATCCACCGTCTCCTTCTTCTTTATAGACGCTTTCTTCACTGAAACAATACCCGTTAAATTTCTCGTCACGGACGGGAGAAGCAAGTACGAGCCTCTCAGCAAAAAAGCAAAAAATAGTTCCGCGGCGGAACGGTGAATCAGCTCGTACTCTCAACGTTGCTACTCCTGACGATCAATTTACCTACCAACTTCTTTTTTCGTGCTCTTCGTGACCTTCGACGCTATGTTCTTGCGTGCTAGAAAGGCCCTCATCATGCACTGAACTTTTACTATCTTTTTCACCTGAGTCTCGTACAGCCGCGAGAGGTACTCCTCGTTGTAATACTTTAGAAACACTTTGGTCTTTCCGATCACCCATCCTTCCATTTTTAACCGGATCAGTAGCAATCGGCAGTTGTCTTTGGTAATCTCGACATTCTCGTCGAAGTCGAATGCCAGGAATTGGTACCTGAAGTCGAGGGAGTTTCAGCGTGACGAAAGTAGAGAGAAACGGAGAATCGATCGACGCGCTCGAAGGGTACTCGAGTGAATTACCTTTGAAGGAATACTGGAAATGATACCCTATGTGGATAACCACGTTGCCTGGCTTTGGCAGTGTCGAGAACAGCCAGCGCACGGATCTGCTGTCTGACGACGTCTCGATAAAAACCACGTGGCGCACCCTCGAGATCGGATCTTATACATCTGACGAAGTGGATACCACTACTTCCGCCACCTACCGAAAGGTTCTTAAGGATTTCAAGGCTGGTAGATTTAAAGGTAGCCGCGCAGGTTCTCATTTTCCGTGTCTGGGAGTATTGCCCTCGGGATGCGGTGTTATATCTCTGTTTGAAAAATAACAATCGCGAGGTGATCTCACAATCTTTACCCTTCGATCATTACTTTTCCATTTCGTTTCGGTTAGACCGCCGATTACATTATCGTATCGTTTTCTCTTACTCTTCTGTTTACAGTTTTCTTTCTTACGAAATACTTGTTAGTCTTACGAAAGAACAGGAATTGAACTTAAATATTAAGCGATCTCACCCTTGGTTTCGACGTCTCCTGCATGAGCGCGCCCCATTTCCCTTTGCTCGTCTTCTTCTCCGCGATTTTCGGATGGTCAACGACAACCGTCAAATTCCCAGATTTCGTCAGTTTGTTCGTGAACATATCTTTCATGGTTTCGATGGTCGATTGCCTGAACGTTTCGATCATTTCCGGTGGGACGAACTCCCGGTTCTTCTCGGCAATCTCGCTAGCGTCGTAAAGCAATTTTCCTGTGTAATGAGCGATGGTAAATTCGTGAGAACTCACCGGTTTTATATAAAGATTGTCCGCTCGTTGTTGGATTTTGGTCATGATATATTGATAATCGAGCATATTTTTCGATGCTTCGTCGATTATACTAAATAAACCTCTGTCTTTGCTCATCAATTGATCTATCGCGTCTTTGTTGTCGTAAAAATGCAAACGCTGTATCGGTATGTCCTCCTCTTCTTGTTCTTGCTACGAACAAAAATCATTACACCTATAAGAATCTTGTACACCTGTACAAATTTAGAAGCGTAGAACCTTACTTTACAGTGCGGGATCTTACCATTTCCCAGGCGAATACCCTCTGGTTGTAATAACATTGCATCTGTTCGTTCATGGTGTTTACCACCAACTGCTCGAGTCGATTTACCGCGAAACACTCGAATCCAAACAGGTCCATTATGTTAATCGCGTATTTGTCACCGCTGAAAGATACCCATGTATTTTAAATAAATCCATGGTGATTAGCCATGATTAAACTCACAATAGAGAACGAGTAACCGTAAATTTGAAATTGATAGTGTTGACTATCCAGTCGACCAGTCGCTGATAGATCGTGTTAGCTAATACGTCTCTCGCTTCTTTCGCTTCTTCGCAGCTGTGCTTTCTCCGTACAGCGTTCCCTTTCACGACTACGCAATAATTAAGCAACGCCCAATTAAATTTCTTTTCATCGAGGTTGAGGAGTTGAGCGACTGAAATACGAAGAGAGAATCATTTAGCCATAAACCTTCACTCGATAGAGATATCAAGTACTTCACACCTCTGTTGGCCGCGTCGTTGTTGTCCATGTCAGCCTCTCCGTCGTTACCCTCGACGAAACGAATTTCTCCCAGAACTAAGGTCGCCGCCAATATTCTCCAGATCGTCTCGCAATACTCCTCCATTTCCAAGATTCGTAGATTCTCCTTGAGTTCTTCGAACTTGGCCACGTTGCCGCGCGGATCGTTACGAACTTTGAACGATCGTTTCCTCTCCGTTCCTTTCTCGCTTATCCTCAGGTACCGCATCCTTCTGCCCGGTGGCAAGTGATACTGTTTCAGTTTGCTCGTGGCGTCGAGACCGTCGTAAAAGTAGTACATCACGTGAAAATTCGATTGATTTCTGCGGAGAAGAGATAGACCTCGTGATCCTCGTGGCCACCGTGGCCAATTGATAAACGTACGATTAGATCTACCGAAGGCGAAGTTGCCATGCAATCTCGAAATCTAACGTACGAGCAAATTGCTAGTTTACTGCTCGCGTGAAACTCGGTAATGCGTACTAGCGTGAATAGCAGACACCGATTCCAACCTGTCGCGGGTAGAAACGCGCCATTTCTCCAGCTGATACAGCCAAAATATGGCGCCGGAGGCTTTCCCGGAACTTCCGTACGTAGTCTCTATTTGCAGCACGCATCTGGTCGAATTGGTGTTGAGCGGCGTGGCGGCGTTGCTGAAAGCGTGAATCACTTTGATAGCTCGCATTAATCTCGCACCGATGTCTTGAAGGCTCTGAAATTAAACGAACGACGATCTGTCGGGAAGTAGCTTTTCCTGTTTACGCGATTCAGCGTACGCGGTGATCGCTTACTTTCCCAAGGTACATGAGATGCTGAACGAGATGCATCATGTTGGTCGTTTTCCCCGAATTGCTCTCGCCGGCTAGTAAAATATACTGGGCCTCTTCGTGGTGCAACACGTCCTGATAGGCGCTGTCGGCTACGGAGTATATGTGAGGCGCGTTGTCCGAACGCGACTTGAATTGGTATTTCGTGTGATACTGGAATCAACAGCGGAAGAGTTGAATTTAACTTGTTCAGCGATCTTGTTCAGCGAAGCACGATCGAACGAACGATCCTTACATCGGACCCGTAAATGTCTTGTTTCTCGTTCGGATTCAAAATCAAAAGGATGTCGCCAATGAAGCTGTGGAAGTAACCTTGCCGCAGTCTCTCGTGCAGCTCGTCCAAAATCGCGTCCTCCGTGAGCACTTCGAGCGCAGCTAAATCCTCCATGAACATAGGCTCCAAAGGATCGGTTTGATGAGTCTGGAGAATAGACGGAGGTGAGGTACATTTAGATATAGATATAGATATCCAGCGACCTGTTTACTCAAAACGTTACCTTCAAGAAACCTTTTCGCACTATTACTTCCGGCCTCCTCTCGTATTTGCCTTTCTCACCGGCGTCCATCATTAATATCTTGATCTCTTTTGCCAGCTGGAAACATCTGTTATTACTTTTTTCTACTTGGGATTCCAGGGCTATTCCAGAAAAAATCGTTTTACTGTGTTACCAGAAAATCTTCCTCCGGTAAATCCGCTAAGAATGGATGCTCGGCTATTTCCGCCATAAACGGCCTGTTCTCGGGATTTTTCTCGAGACATCTGAAACGACATTGAACGACATCATCGTTTATAGAAAATATAGCGTTTGCACGCGTAAAGCGTTTGAACATACTCGGCGATGAAATCGTTGAAATTTTGCGACCAGTTGGACGGCCTGTACAAATTCGGTGGCGGATTTCGAACGATCTGGAACAACGCTCTGGTCGGGTGCATGTCTTGAAACGGCGGTTTACCGTCAGCCAACTCGATCGCTGTGATACCGACCGCCCAGACGTCCGCTCTGCTACCGTATCCTTCGGAATTGTTCTCCTTGCTCATGGCCACTTCTGGTGCCATCCAACTCGGCGATCCTACGCACGTGTACCTCTTCCCCATTTCACCCTGATACATCTTCGACAGCCCGAAATCGACCAACTTCACGTCGCCCTCTTTGGTCAGTAATATGTTATTGCCGCGTATGTCACGGTGCATCACGTTGTGCTCGTTGAGATAGACCATTGCCTGCGGAGGACGTTGTAAATCGTTGAGATTCGAAGGAGAACGAACGAGTCGGACACGAAGGGCACTCGACGAAGCGCGATCGAATATCTCCGGTTCGAGACTTTCCTCTCCTTTCGGTACTGCGGACCGCGATTTCATGTCGTGAGAGTAGACACCGGCACCCCGTTCCTCGCGAGCATTTATTTCGCGTGTAATTTGCCGGCATTAAACGTCAACGTGGCCTGATTTACCGCACGAGCGACCGTGGACGAATCGCTACTGGGTCCATGGAACACGTAGCAACGCGAATAAGAAGGCGACGTCCGAGAAGAAGAAGAGAAAGAAGAAGAAGAAGAAGAAGAAGAAGAAGAAAAAGAAGAAGGGGTTGCGTGCACTTTACGAGAAACGATAGTGAGACAAGAGCAAAGAACGTGGATTATTCCGCGCGTGTGTAATAGGTTGGAAAACAATCCTGTAAATATCGTCGATGCCGAGACTGAAAACGCTCGCCGATAATTTCGTTCGATCGGGAATCAATTAGGGTAAAGACTAGCGGTGTGCGAGAACTCCAAAATATCGGGAACCCGATGGTCGGGTCGGGTTCCTGAAAATTTCGAGATTCCCGAAGGAATCGGGGTTTCCCGAAAAAGTCGAGATTCCCGAAAATTTCGAGAACCCGGCTACCGTTTCTCGAACTACTCTACAATGCTGTATAGCAATCTACAAAATACGTAAATACACAGTTCAATTTCTTCTGCCAGTGAAGTTATTGGAAACACGGATTCTAAGAATCGTGTGACCTGATGTATACAAACGTGTGACTGCGTGCTTGGATATTATGTGCGCTGTTGAGCAGTATCGCTGAGAAATTCGGGCAGTTCAGACGTATATTTCAAAATCTGTGTGAATTTAATAAAGATTAAAAATCTTTTAAAAAAGTGTCGAGTGATAGTGAGAGTAAAGTTGTGGTAGCAGGAAGCAGTGCAGAAGATATCGTGCAAAGGAAGAAGGTAAAGAGAAGCTCTGTTTGGCAACATTTTTAAAAAAAAGATGATACAAAGGCGGAATGCACGCATTGTCTCCATGAATTTAAAACGAAGTATGCAAATACTATTGGTTATTACGCCATTTGAAACATATGCATATGTACATAATGTATATGTACTAGAAAAGAAATTGAATCGATTTAAAATTTGTCGCATGTACAAAACGATTCGTGTTTCCGACCCGACCCTACCCGATATTTCGGGTTTTCGCACACCTCGAGTAAAGACGCGGAAGAAAAGAAAGCATGGCTTCTCTCGCGTAACGTACGACAAATTAGAAACGATTTAACCCGTAACACGGGTGAGCGGGCGACGGTAATGCGTATCGAGTGGCCACCGTTTCATGCTACTTGACAGTTTCATCGATCCCATCTTTTCTTGGCAACGTCATGTATGAGAAACTCGATTGGTCGATAGCCAACTCCGTTAGGGTAGCGCGATTACAGAGAGAAGCATCGTCCGCGAGATAGAAATTCACGCGTGAATTCGTCGAGGTTTGAGGGATCAGGTTCACGAGGTTCTCACGGCGGAGATAATTAGTAGAACCCATCGATTTTACTCGGTCCCGACGTTTTTGCAGGGAAACCGAGCCGCGAACCACGTCTCGGAGAGGAAACGACGCACGATTCGAAACGGAAACGCGCGTTTTACCCTCGGCGCCGATCAGGTTGCAGCAGCGTTTGACGCGTAAATGACATACCCGTTTCACTCCGGTGTCCAGTATATTTTTCTAACCGTTTCCCCCGGTGTGTTCGTTCAGTATCCGCGGTTGTTTCGCGTACCGCGAGGCTCGGAGAGGGTATCGAGTCGGAGAAACGTCTCTCCTGTCCTGATATTAACGTAAATTATATTCCGAGAGGAAACAGAACGGAATTACGACAACATTATCCCATTGTGACCGAGCGGAATCCCTTCCCTAGTAAAATTATAGGCCTCCAGGCGGGAAACGTTTGCAATTCGCCCCGTGTCGCGATTCTCGGTTTATTCCTTGGTTTATTCTTCGCGTTCTTACGTTTCTGCCGCGAGTGTTGGGGTCCCATACATCTCTAACCGCGCGCGGGATCTCTGCTTCTGTCCTTGACTGTAACGCGCGCGCTCGTTCTCGTTCTCGTTCTCGTTTTCGTTCTCTTGGAGAACAGAGAAACGCGAGAGTACGTGTCAGAAGAGAATAGGACGGAAGTCTTTGCGCTCTTGATCTCCGCTGGATGCACCCGGAGAGATCGCTGCGCGAACAACACGGCGAAGGGCGAACGAGCCAGGCAGCCTTTCATTTGCGAGCAGGTTAATTAGCGAGCTATCTCGCCTGTCTTATTTGTAATTTATACGCCGTAGAATGCGACCCATTGACGCGCGTATTTCGCGATCCTTCCCGTGCCCCTCGATTTTGCGCGTACGTAAAAATGCCGTCGAGTCGCGAGTTACCCCGTCGCGCGAATCCAGCTCTCTCCTCTTTTCGTCGACGCCACGCAAGACATTCTGGCTCGCGATCACGGAACGAACCGTCTCGTTCTCTCTCTCTCTCTCTCTCTCTCTCTCTCTCTCTCTCTCTTTGCTCGCTTTTCGACGTCATTTTTACTTCTCCTTCTCCTACTGCCTCTCTTTTCGTTTTTTCTCCTTCTGTTCGACTTGAACAATTTCAAAAACGCTCCCGCATCACTCGGGAGGACTTCTACGCTCGAGCGCAACGAGGAGCTGGACATACTCGAAACATACCGAAGAATCGGTGAAAGTACCTGATGCCATCGGTTTTGTACCCTCGCGGAGATGCTGTTCGTTCCTAACTAAAGCGTCGGACGAGAGGCCCGCAGGGGACACCGCGAAATCATCGCGTTCAACGCGTTCGAGAAATTGCAGCGTTCCGTGCGCTTCGTCAAGCTCCATTTGAAACCGTCCGCTCCGCGATACTCACCTGGATCACTTCCCGCAGGATAAAGCCGATGTGCTCCTCGCGCATTTTCTTGTCCTTAGCTAGAAGCCCGTGCACGAGATCCATCACAGTCCCACCTTCGCAGAGCTGCAAAAAAAAATCGTACGAGAGATATTAAAATGGACAATAGGACGCGAAGCTTGTAGAGTCAGGTGATCGTTTTAACAACAACGTGTATTAAGAGACGTGGAAGAGTACCGATTCTTAAAATTATACCGTGATGGTGGCTTAAGAAAGCAATCTTCGATTTGAGTCGGCACTTCGGCGCATCGCGTTGATAGCTTGACCTTGCCCGCGAAATTGAGGAAGCAATTTAAATCGAGCACTCGGGACGGAGCTTAATTTTCCGAGTGATTTTGTATCGCGTAATTGGCCGCGATCTCGATATCTAGGACTCTCAGCGTTAACGGTTTCTGTTCCTACTTCCAGCTAGGTACTTGGAGCAGGAGTTTCCGTTGAGGATCGGAAATTTCAAGCGTCGTTCGCGTTCTGGCGAACGTTCGTTTGGTTTCGTGTCTGCAAATATGGATTGGCAAGTATCGCACACGAGCTTTAAGCCGGGCTCCGAGCAAGCACGCGATGCGCGCGGTCGATGCATTCTTTCGAGCGAAAGCCCACCGAGCGTTGCACGAGAAAACTTGGTCTACTGGCAACAGTTCGTATATATGATGCACGTAAAACCTGTCCGCGATACGATATGAAATACCATCAGCGATAAATCTGAGCCACATTGTCGTTGCGTGTTATATTACTCCTCTTTTTCAACTTGTCCTCCTCGTCCTTCGTTCTCGGTAATCGAGATTTGCCAAGCTTTTTTGCCAAGATCGATTGACTTGCAAAACCGTCGTTAGTCATTTTGTTGCTCGTAGCCAGCCACCTACTGTACACCTGTTTCTTTGGCCGTGTTTCCGATCCTCGCCGATATATACCTCGTCTCGAGACCGTATAATCATCGACTCGTGATACCGCTCCATTACCAATTTCGTTCTACCAAGTAGAAACATTCGCAAATATCGTATGGTATCCTTTCGTTCAGGATAGACGGAAAGAGGAACGAGAAGAAGCGAAAGAGATTTGGTATTACAGAGAACAGCAGAACGATCGAGCGTACATGCGTTAAATTCGAATATCGACGCTTTGCTTTTTGAGATAAGTAATAATATTTCGGGCGCACCGAGGAGGTCCACCCGTAAATTAGGGCCGCGACGTGCCAAGGCTCACCTGCGTATACGAACGAGTTTAATGATTGTTTAATGGCCGCGCGTGTCGTAAATTATCCGTGTATTCGACCGTCTCAAATGCTTGAAATTGCCTCCGGGTCCTGGCATAGGTACGTACAGCAACTCTTCCATCGCCGTTGCCTTCCATCTTTGTTTCTTTTTTCCTTTCCCCTCCTTCTCTCTCTCTCTCCTACCCCTTCGGTCTCGTCCAGCCGAGATCTATTCTATCTCGCGATCGTCGGACTTTTCTTCTTTTTTTTTTTTTCTTTAATTTTTCTCTCCGGAGAATTACGATGTTAGAGGAGTGGCGTTGTACGTGGATATATATATCTTTGAAATCGACGTGCCAGACAAACAACAGTTACGTCGGACGCGATAGTACCGCGGTTTTCGAGGCGAGCCTGCGGTGAAAATCGTACGCAATATTTACCTCCATGACGAACCATATTTGATCGTACTCGGTCTTCTTGCCGGATCTTCTGCGATAAATCCCGTAGAAGTCTGGCAGATTCGGATGTGACCCGAAGTCACGAAGAATCTTGTACTCCTCGATGATCAGGGACTGCGATTCCGGAGTGAGCTTCTGCACCTTCACCGCGACTCTTTTGTTCCCTGCGAGCACAGGAAAGGAAAACGTACGGTGAAAAATGGGAATTTTCGCGAAAATTCAGTCAAACATATATCGTCGGGACTGTACCGGCTTGTTGATCGATCGCTTCGTACACATCGCCGCACACGCCAGAACCTATGCACTCTCGGAGGAGATAACGCTTTCCGGGATCTTGTATGCTATCCAAACGCTGCATGATATTTCTTCGTTCATCGTGATCGTCTTCGTCGCCTCTGCTCCCTCCTCGTCTCTGTCGTTCCCTCCCTCTGCTGTCGTATCCATAATCGCTCATTTTCGGTCGTTTCTCGTCCCGTTGTTCTGAAAAGTCGGGTAACAAAACGATTGCTCGTTCGATATTCGGTTAAACGAGAAGAGACGAAAAGAGACGAAGGGAAACGAGAGAACAGGGAGAGCCTGTTGAGAGCAGGGAAACCTAATCCAAACCTGCCGTGGCTTTTTGAAACGAACGATTGCGCGATCGAAACGTGTCAAGATGAATGTGACAAATGATTCTATTGTGAAAGAGGGCAAAAAAGGAGAAGAAAAAAGGAGAAAGGAAAGAAAAGGGAAAAATGGGAAAAAAACAAAATTTAAACGGTTCCGATCGAGTCGCATCGAGCGGAATACCTCTGCTCGGTGCATCCCGGTGGAAACCGCACGACAAAAAGTTCATTAACTTTGTTCTCGTTTCCAGGATCGAGTGCTCGCAGAGTCGGCGCAGCAACAACGAGCACAGGAAGATCGTTGTCGCGTACCTCTTCACACTCACGGGAAAGCGGGACCGGTGGTGCCTCTTTCCATCCGTTCGAACGACGAGATGGTCGAGAATGACTCTTCGAAGAGAACGCTCTGCGGATTTTTTTACGAGAGGCCAGGTTCGGCCGGTCGAGGGTTTCATGGCGCATCGACACAAAGGTGAGTGCTAATTATATTCTTTCTCGAGTGCCGCGTGAACGAGTGGTAATCGCTAATTAGTAGCTCGCTTCCTGAAAGCATCCACGAGGGAAAAGCTAGAGCTACGCCAGGAATCCGAAAGATACGCCGCGTTCGGTTCGGCGATCGGAAATCTGATCGCGTTTTTCCTCCTGTCTACTACGTGCTACGAAAAGTGTCTTTTCTTTTTTTTTTTTTTTTTCAAGCTCTGAATATTTCGCGCTACAGTTGTACCGATTCGGATAATCGCGATGTACACGAGCCAGTACACGGGTAGAACTTGCGGGTTTTCTGTGGCTTTGGAGCCATGCTCGTAAAACGTACCGTGGTCGTGGAACGTACGACGAATTTCCACGAATTTTCACGACCTCACTTCATGTCGTAACACTGTCGCCGTTGCGTTGCGACAGCACGCAACGCGAGATGAATTTCTCTGGATGGAAAACCGAATTAATTCGCCAAACGCCAAAAGTTTCGTGTGTTTTTTCTTTCTTTTTTTCTTTTTTCTTTTTTTGCCATTTGCATCCCTGCTGGTACTTGTAGGGCTGCGGAAACGCTGCAGGGTAATACACATCCCATTTATCGGATCCTACGGATTGCGTAAGAGTATTTAATGGGCTAGGCAAGTCCGTGGGTTACGGGTGGCTCGCTTAACTGTCTCGCCAAAGAAACGATCGATCGATGCGGTTCTACTTTCGTCGACTCCGCGTCGATCTGCGTTTTTTTTTACTATTTGTACCATGGTACCATAGTATCTCTGTTATTGGATCATTAGTAGTAGTTGCGTAATCCCCTGCGTCCGATTCATTAGGTAGAGTCGCCAAGCTAACAAGTCGCGTTTAGCGACAGGCTTTACCTCTGGTGAATGCTCGTTTGCTCGTTTCCCGCTAATTCGTTTACGTTTCCGCGATATCGGTTCGGTTCTAGGCGCGAGTGCTTTCTCTCGGTTCGGTTCCGCACGCGAAAACAGCGTGAATCGCGAGACGATTGACTCGCGAGGGAAGAGAAACTGGTAGAGGAGAGAGGAGCGAGGTGCAGGATGGTACAGAGGGAAAGGCGGAGGTGAGTAACGAGAGGATTCGCGTCGTTGGCCAATTCATTTATTCCTGGTGGGTCGGCGCTCGTCTGGCATAATCCGTCGATTTGTCGGCGCGGCGTGTCTCGTGTAATGCTGCTTCTTGCCGCTTCTTGCCGCTTGTAATCGAAGAGGGAAAGGGAAAGGGAAAGGGAGAAAGGGTAAGGGAGAAAGAGAGAGAGAGAGAGAGAGAGGGAGAGAGAGGACTGGAGCGAGAGGGCGACGCGTCGCTGACTATATGTGAACGAACGGGCGTAAGAAACTCTGGTTGATCCACGATGTCCACACGATGGTTCTGTTTCTCTGCTCATATGCGATACGACGGTGTTCCTCCGCTTCCTCTCCGTTTTCTCAGTGGTCTCTCGCGGGCGAGCGTCGCGCACCTTTGTTCCCTCTCATTCTGCTTCTTCCTTTTCCTCGTCGTTGCTCGTCGAGCGGTGCAGGTTTATCGGTACGACAGGGCGTTAAATTATTGATGCCCGACTGCGCGTCGCTCGCGAGAAGACGAACGAGAAGAAAGGAAGAAGGGTAGGCAGAGAGGTAAGGACGGGTCCCGTGATTTCAGAAAAAGCTTTCCGTGCCACTCGGTCCATCGGTTCTTTCGCTCGGGCCGTCTTCGTTCTCGCGCCGGTCCGCGGACGCGCGAGTCACGTTCTCTCTCTCTCTCTCTTTCTCTCCTTCCTTCTCCCGAAGCCGAAGACGATCGCGAACCCGTGCGGAGCAACTTGCGCTCTTTAAAAGGAAACGAAACGTGGGCGCGACGAAACAGCACGTTGTGGGAAAGTTTTGCGGACGAACACGATCCTCCGGCCGAATCAAAAATTAACCATTCTCTATCTCGGTGGTCGTCTCGGTCGCGCCACCGTCATCCTCGTCATCGCCGACCTATTTCTTCTAACTCTGGCGTCCATCTCGTCCTTCGTTCCCGATAAGAGCAAACGAAGCGAAACGAAAGAAGGGCGGGCTCGAGGTTTCGAACGCGCGCTTCCCGAAAAGAGCCGTGTGGGAAAGTTGATATTCGTTGGTCGAGAAAGGTCCCCTGCTATAGCGCCGGAATGTTAGCACCGCGAATCCCTGGGAAGAAGCAGCAACGCCAACGGTAGTGGCGGTGGAAGAGGAAGAAGAAGAGGAAGAAAAAGAGACGCAGCAGCCGAAAACGATCGGCAGCCGACCGGTCCGGACCGGTTGAAAAGGGTTCGACACTCCTTTCGCCGGAAAGTACGGTAAACTGGTGACAAGTGGCTTGTTCTCTCACTTTTCTGTTTCTCCGCAGAGTCTTCCCCCTCCGTACCTTTAAATCTCGCGGCGCGTCCTCACCTCGTTAATCGGAAAAACTAGTTAGACGCGAATTGTTTGTCGTCTCGATTCGGCGTCGATCGATTCTCCCTTCGTTGGCTATCACGCCGACTCTCGTCCGTTCGTGGAAAAAACTGGTGTATCGATGTCGTCGAGTGACGATCGGCTTGCGTGACGATATCGAGGCTCGCCGATCGACGATGCAGACAGATCGTTGAGGTACACGGATGTCTCTCGTGGTAGACGAGACGCACGCGGTCTGTTTTCCCCGCGAGGCACGAGACTTCCGCTTCTTGCTCTCCGTTCGCTCTCTCTCCTTCTTTTTCACTCGCTACCTTTTATAGATTCTCCTAAGATCGATCCTATCGGCAGATAACGCGTCCTCCTCTTTGGGATTCCAAGGCGGAGGTGTCGCTGTTCTCGCGATCGAGCGAGGCTCGAAAAATCGCTCGTTCGTTCGCCAATGATCGTACGTTATTTCCGTCAGGGGGTTAATCGATACCGAGAATCTCGCCGCTGTTCTTCTTCCTCGAAGCTCATGCAACATTTAACTTTCTGCTATATTCTTCTCGAGCTCGCGGCTCACGCTTGCGATTCCCTCGTCTACCCGTTCTTTCGATCTTGTCTTACCACAATGTATCTCTTGTCTTTTCTTCTTTTCTTTTCTTTTTCTTCGTCCCTCTTCATCTTCCTTCCCCTTCGTTCACGTTGGAAATACCGACACCGTCGGTCCAACTACCGCGTGTCCGTCTTCGTCATTCCTGCTCTACCGAAGTTGGCTCGAGACAACACCTGCCTGGATTTACCTCCGCGGCAAGCTGCACCGCTACGAGAGAGGAACGCTCTCCGCAAGTTCCTCAGCTACCTTCCGTTCTCACCAGTTCTCTCTGTGTTTACGGATTTCTCTCTTTTTCCCCGTCGTCCTGGCAAAACATCGTGAAACACATGTTCCGGCACCTTCGAGACACGCACCGCAGAACGTAAAGCACATCCCCTTTTTCCGTTCTTCCTCTTTCACCTCTTCTTCTTCTTCTTCTTCTTCTTCTTCGTCGTCTTCCTCGTCTTCTTCTTTCTTCTCGTCGCGAACACACTTGTCCGATTCTCTTTCCTGTCTCCCTCTCCCTTTCTCACCATTTCGCCAGCTCGTTTCTTTTTATCCCGACCTCCGAACGAAACTTGTTAATTGCGGCATTATTCGCGATCCGGGAACGATAATGGTGTCTCGGCAGCGAAGCTCGCGATCTCTCGTGGCATCCCGAGGAGGTCGTTCGCGATAACGTGGTTTCTCTCTCTTCCTCTCTGTGAGTCCCGACCGAGGATCGGTACGAATAAATATCGTGGAATTCCACTTGTTCCGTTACGACGGTCGCTTTCCAAATTGAGACCGCGTTGAGATTCACGGGACCGCTGTTGGACCGATCGGCGGGGCGCGAAAGGAGGAGAGGAAGATCGAAAACGAGTAGATATATATTTTTTTCTTTTTCATTTCGCGATCGATCGAAAGGACGAACCCGAGGAGAACGAGAGATGATTGGGCCACTGTTTACGCGGTTTATTCGGCGGCATTCGTCGACGATTCTTATCACTATCGGTTTTCCAAGTGTCGACGCACTAGAGAGGACTTTGCCTGCGCAAGGTCTAGCGACGGACGAAACGAAGGGTTTTCACGGAAGGTGCAAAACACTTACTCGTAAGGGGGCAAGTAACGGTAGGGGGTGCTCTTAGCGTTGGCTCGCGATGAAACTCACCTCTAATTAAAACGTCTGGCAGGTTGTGCAGGCCCTGCGGCGTCCACCCTCGCAATGTTCGCAATGCTCGTGTGCCGGAGCAAGAGCCCGAGCTCTACGACGCTCGTGCAGGGTGGTAGTCACGATTGCGTCGAGGGGGTGCTTGGCTTCCATGATCCAATAACGCCGACTTAATTAACTAACTGCTAACTCGCAAGCCTGTTAGCTCATTGATTTCGTTCCCGAGATCGTCGTCCAGCTTCGACTCACTCTCCCCCCCCCCCCCCCCTCCTCCTCCCTCTGCTTCGTTCACTCTTTCTCATTTCTTCTTGTTCCTCTCGAGGACGTCGAGATTCCTCCTTTTGTCTCTTGAGTGCTAATTTATCGAGAAATCGACGAAAATCTCTCGTTTTCCCTTTTCTCGCGTCTGGATCGAACAAGAAACGAAGGAGAAGCGATTCGAGAAGCGGCCGTTATCATTATCCAACGATAAGCGATTGTCCTTGATCGCGATCACAAAGCGCAAGGGCAACGGGAATAATTGTCGGTGGTAGTAAAGGGATAAAAATTCTAGTGGTAAAAAGTGTCGCGTCGTTTTCCCCGCTTCTAATCTCGTTGGCTGGATCGATGCGCCTTGAAAAAGATCTCGCCGAGGGTCGCGCGATAAATTAATGCGCTTTATCGCGGCTTCTTCAGGGTCGTCCTGGCTGGCGTAGTTGTCAAAGGGAGCCGCGTTTAATGCGAGTACGCGTCGCGCCACGCCGATCCGATGCAACGCGACATGACGTATCTTTTTGCAGGGCCGCTCCACGCAAAACCCCCGAACGCTAATCTCGATCGGACAATTTCTCGGGATTTCTCTTCACCCTCGTGATTATCGAGGAAATCGTGGTTGACGTCGCGCGTTCGCGTTCCACGCTGAAAACGAGCCCCGATCGATCAACGGTTTATTTAAAATTGTAATGGTAGCGCTTTGGATTACCGGCTATCGACGTCGCGGGCGTCCACCGACCCGCGGAAAATACGATTATGAAAGTCCTCGTCCGATTTCGGTGCTAATCTAATCGGAATTCTAGCCGCTGGGATATAGATTCCGAGAACCTAACTCTGCCGTCTGCTGCCATTCCACGGGCTTTTCAGCGACTCGATTCGAGTGGATGAGCTTACGATGCTCGATACTGAACGTTTGCGAAAGATAATTGTGCCGGTGTGTAAAAGCGAATAAAGAGAGAGGAGGGTGTTGGGAGGGAGGGCTCTCTTTGATTTCCCGTGGCTGAGAACGAAAAAAAGCCACGAGCTGCCAGTGGATGGAATCGGATCGAAAACGAAAGTCAAGAGCTAGACGATCTATCTCTCTCTCTCTCTCTCTTTCTCTCTCTCTGTGTGTGATGTTTCGTAACGTCGCACCGTTGAAATGCTATGTTCTTTTCGCTCGGTATGTAAGTGGGATTGGCACAGATTTTTCCAAGGTTTTAACACGGGGCAATTTATCGTTCGATCGATGGAAAAGAAGGTCGAACGAATCTATCGGAACAAGGAATAAATGTATCGGAGAGGCTTCGGTCATCTGTAAATATCTGTCCGAAAGAAGTTACGCTCTTTTTCGCGCGCGCGTGAGGGGGTGCTGTTGGTAATCGGCCGCCTATCGACCAGCGATATTCTTTCGCCGTCGACGGGACGTCCGCAAGAAACGAAGACAAATCGGTCCGATTATCGGTCAAAGGAACTCTTTATTGTACACGCATTATTAAATTGTATACAATTATCGCATCCATTCCAAATCTTACACACGCACAAATTGCTTTTCTCTAATAATACTGTGACGGAGGTGTTACAGTTGCTGGTGGATAATTCAAAATTATATCTACTAATTAAATAGAGGCAACGTGATAAATAAATTATTGGCCCGCTTAATCTACCAATTAAATTACGTTGTTCGCGCGATTAAGAACAGTTACTCCATTGTCTCTGCCGCGAATGCGCTCCAAATGCAAATTGTAATTGCCTTTACGCGTTGTTAGAGCGACGCGGTCTCGATAGCGTTACTAAGCGTGAATAATGTACGGTCACCGAGTCCGCCGCGGTGTTAAATCAATCTGTCACAGCTGATCTCCGTATGGCTGACGGCCGATCGCGTATTCAACCGCGAATCGCGCATCTTCTCTGCGTTTTAACTTGAGATCTGGAAAGCTAGCTCGTTCGTGAAACGAACGCGAATCAGCTCGATTCTCATCGTCCTCTTGGGTAATCAAAAAGATAGCGATTTTTAACAACGAGATTCAACGACCGAAGACTCAGAGATTGAATCCGAAATCTCGTTCGTACTTTGATCCGATCTCTAATCCGACGAGTTCCGATTGCCGCGAGGGCTTTCTGAACCGGGTTTTCAAACGTCCGTTCACTTGCAAACAGTGATCCACTCCTCCACGGTACAGTTTTGGCATTGCACGAAGCAACACCAAAGAAACTTGCATCTGCATCGCTCGACGCGTCTCTGTCTCACAACGTTGTAACCTCTGTCGCAGCAGAGGCTGCTGCATCCGTCTCTGCCGGAGCTGGTCTTGTTGCATCTCCGACCGGCGGTCCCTGGAATGTCCGCGCTCGGGTCCCTCTCGCAGAAATTCGGCGACTCTTGGTAGTAAAACAGCTGCTTGGCGAGATCTCGCGGTCTTCTTTTGCGCCCGCCACCGTTTCCGCCGCCGCGGTGTTTCCTCTGCCTCTGGCGATCCGGCCTCCTCCTTCGCGATCCCCTCACTCTGGTTAAAGAGGTCACGCTCCCCACGTTGCTCTGCGCGACCAACACCGCGTTTCGAAAGCGATCCTTGAGCGTTTTCCCGACTATCCGGAAGTCCGGCGCCACTTTCCAGCAGGTCTTGAGCCCGCAGGAACCCGACATACCGTGGCACTTGCAGCGCACTTGCATGTTGCTCGCCACCGCCTGAAATCTCACCGTGATTGGTGTCGTGATCGAATGGATCGAATGGGGCGGGAGAGGAGGGGCGAAAGTTTTTAGACGAGAATTAAACGACGAGAGTCGCGAAAGGAACGAGAAAGGGAGAAAGCACAGACGAAGACGACAACGGTTACGGAACGCGGTTCGGTTCGACCGAGCGCACGCGGAGTGGTCAAGAGTCGCATGAACAGCGGCTGAAGAGAAAAGGGGGGCAATTTCTTTTAAACAAAGAGGTGTCGCGTACAAAACAGTTAATGAGTCTACGACTGGGTGGTCCAGCCCGAGGCTTCGTCTTAATAACGTCGAGGCGAGACCGAGCGTGGAGAGGTGCATGGTGGAGAGGAACGGACTCGGCTGTAGTTCTACTCCTCCTCTCTACCCCTATTCATCGTTTTCTCTCTCTCTCTCTCTCTTTCTCTCATACACACATACGCACGCACACACATACACTCTTTCTTCGCTTCGTTCTCTTTCTTTTCGCGTTGCTCTAGCACCAGCAGGCAAGAATCACCGTTAAAACGCGAAGAATCAGCGGAACCTGATGGAACGAACAAAAATACCGGGAGAAGAAGTATATTGTCACGGAATGAAATATTTATCGCGAGAGAGAGAGAGAGAGAGAGAGAGAGAGAGAGAGAGAGAAAGAGAGAGCAAGGAAGACGAATGACAGAGGACAGAGAGGGAGAACGAAAGGGAAGATTAATCAAACGGCTTACCAAGCGGCCAGCTTGATTGTTGTGGAGATTGACCATCGACTGTATATCCCCGGCTATCTCGCGCGTATCTAGGAACTGTCTCGAGAACTCCATGCCGTAGTCGAGGTTGTGAGAGCAGCCGCCCCACTTCCATTGGGTGCCCCTGTCCTTGCCAGGCGGCTTATCCTTGTAGCTGGACGGGTCGCATCCGCAGGAGAGCAACCGTCCCATGCTGCACGCGCGGGCCACGCTGTGCGCCACCCCAGCTGCGAAGATCGCGAACGCGAACGCGGTCTCCCTGTAACCTGTAACCAGAAACAATTCATTTCTTGACGTTCTCTTCTCTATGCGTCGCTGTTGAACTTCTACACGTGTCAACGTGGAGGAATCAGGTCAACTCAAGATTCGGAGAAATCTTTGAAAGCGTTGTTGCCGCCACGACGTTTCTTCGATCGTCGTACGGTGTTTTTCGCGCACGCAGAGGAGGAAACGAAGAGGGACTGGTTAGCAAATTGTTCACACAGCTCGCGGAACGAGAGTAATATACGCAACGCGACAGCGGCGATCACGTTCGTCGCTTCTCTCGTGAGCGATGAGAAGGAGCGACGAAACAGCGGGACACCGTGGAGCCGAGCTTCCGTAGAAGGAGCTTCGGTAGCGAGTTGGACGGATCGTTGGACGGATCGGCCATCGACAGACAGCCATCAGACGAAGTTCCACACAGTGGTAGATTATTCAGCCGTCCGTCAAAACAAAGCGTGGCCATCAACAGCGGCGGCCGGCGGGCATTCATTGACTGCATGTATAAATGATCTCACGCTGGGGTCGCCGAAGACGCGATGCCAAACTCTGACCACGATTGCCGCGCCTTCCAGCAATCTCGACGTTTTACGCCAATTTTACGCTCGTCTTTCCGCGCGTAACGATCGTTTGATCTCTCTCGGCGAAATTGGACCCGAGAGTCTCGATCGTTTTCTTTGCTCTCGTTCTCGCACGCGTTGCCGTCGCTCGATTCAAGGGGGGGGAAATTGAAGTTGAACGATAAAAGAGAGGAGAGAGGACGGATGAGCCTCGAGGACGGGCGAGAATCTTTCTGGGCAGAATTTGGAAATTCGTCCATCGGCGAACAAAAGGGGTTTAGGTTGGACCCAGTTCGATAAGTAATGCGACGTTAAACGCACTTTTTCTTCGCTACCTCCAAGGCCTCTCTCGTCGTCCGAAGCGTCGCTGGAGTCGGATTGACGGATGGCCGATCGTCAAACCGCAATGGTGGCTGTCAACTTACAAACGATACGACACACGACTGCCGGCGGCTACGGAATACGCGCTCGAAACTGTCCCTTTCTCCACGACTCGTTCGACAATACCCACACATTACTCTGCCCCCTCTTCTCTCAGGTCCAGAAGGAGCCACTCCAATCCGCGAATACCGGGCGGTATTTGCAGTATTCATGAGAACGAGATACCGGGGAGACGCGCTAAAGGCACATTCGAAAAGGATTTGTGGTATTCGTTCTCGACACCCGATGAGCCACTGCGCTGTCGTTACGTCGTCCCCCTCTCGACAAGCTGCCCCTTTTGTTCGTTCCGTTTCGTTCCGTTCCAAGACCATGTTCCGAACGCGACTCGCGTCAAGGCTCAGCCAACAAACTGCGCGTCTCATCTATCCGCGCGCGCGTGTTTTCAACGCGCGGTTCTCTCTAATTTCGCCTCCGTCGCGTCGACGAGCGATTCGTCGTTCGATCGAAGCCGTCGCACCGGAATCGATCGGCCCCCATCACCGTGAAACTTGCCGTTGCGATTTCATTCGGCAGGCGTTCTCCGAACGTCTCCTTTTACCTCGAACGACGTTCGACCGCGTGACGGCGGCAGGGAATCGTCCTGCGAACGACGGATCCGTGGACGAACCGGATCGACCGACAGGACGGATCCGTTTCGGTGAACGAGATCGGACAGCCGGTCGCTCGATTACGTCGCCCTTCGTCGATCGTACGAAACCCTGGCGACGTTAAAGAGTCGACGCCGAGGCGAAGTATAGCAAGCATACGACCAACAGCAGATTCTTTTTTTTTTTTTACCCCCCCTTCCTCGAGAGAGAGAGATCGCTGCTCCGATAGAAACGTTGACGACGAAGAACGATCGAAGGGGGAGGTGAGGAGGAGAGAGGAGAGTCTGCCGATCGAATTCTGCCGCGGCGGAGGATATCACGTGCTTCGTCTCGAAGGATGATAACCTCCTTCGAGTACGGCCGAGAGGAGGACCGGCCTCCTTCCAGTCGAAAGAAAACGAAAACAGCTCTTTATATGGGCTCACGGTAGGAGGGGTGACTGAAAGCTTGCGCTTTATACGGCTATTGGCAGCAACTGTTTTATAATGCAGATAACTGTTGGAGGGCTGCAGCTACTGTAACTGCCGTTGCTGTTGCTTCTGCTTCTGCTTCTGCTTCTGCCTCTGCTTCTGCCTCTGCTTCTGCCTCTGTTTCTGCTTCTGCTTCTGCTTCTGCTTCTGTAGCTCGGTGGTAAGAGGAGCACACACAGGGGACTCGTAATAAATCCTCCGCGGGGAGTTGTACGTCTCTTCTGTCGGACAGTGGAGAAGCCGAGGTGGAAGGAAGAAGGGAACGAGGCTGAGGTGCACAACAGAGGGCCACGTTGCCTCTTTACTCTCTTCGACTGTTGACGCAGGGACCCGGTGACGGATGGCGCGTAGGCCTTACCCTGCTACCCTGTGTCAGGCCCAAATCACTGTTTAGATAACTCAATAGATAGCGTAGCTGGTACGCACGCTCGGTAATGTTTACGGGAGCGTGTGCCTTCTTCTTTTTCGTCGCGTCCGAACGACTTTTACGCTTGTCTTAACCCTTCACCATCACGAACTTTCGACTTGTAGTTTCCTTTCTTTCTTTTTCTTTCCTCCCCCCCCCTTTTTTTTTTTATTTTTCTCGACGATTCCCGCATTTACTAGTTCCTCTGTCGCGATCTAAATCGCACCATGAACTTGTTACGTACATCTCGTACAGATTTAAGACTCTGTACATGGTTCCTACCACGAAGAAATGTACGAAAGTTGGATCTCGTTTCAAGACGTATTTCGCTGTATTTACGATTGTAAATACCGTGGCTGTTCCTGGCGGACGAGCGAACGTCGTGTACCGCGCCTTGTGTGGGCCATCGGGCCCAGAACAAGAGACGGAGACTTCTTCTGGGACAGAGGAGGAGAAAAAACAGGACCGTTTCGTGTACATTTCATAATACATTAAGTCGTTTTGCCGGGGTTTAACGAATACGTGGCAAAAGTGAGACGTGCTGAAGGACAGGACGAGAGAGAGAGAGAGAGAGAGAGAGAGAGAGAGTGTGTGTGTGAGAGGGAGAGGTGGGTGAGTGCAAAGGAGAGAGGCAACACGAGGCAAGCCAGTGTCGAGAAGGGAATGAAAGAAGAAGCAACGAGAGAACCGTGTCTGAGAGATTTAACGATGTGCGTTCTCTTCGAGATACGTAGCCAGCACGAATTTGACACGGTGGATTTCTCGAACGACCGCGGACTCTCTCACCTGGCCACCGATGTCGTTCCTTAAAAACCTGGAACCGTTGGTAATGATGAAGTACGGGCTGTTTCTCGGAAGCTGCTGCCCTCTGACTTCAAAGTCGAACTCGAACGACGATCGACCAGCTCCCTTCGAGCCGGATAATCGGCGGATCCAACCATCGTCGGGTCTTTCTTCGAAAAATCTGTCAACGGAGGCCAACCAACGATCGGAGGAGCGATCGCGTCTTTCGTCGAAACTTTCAAGTAAAGTGAACACGGGGAGTAAACGCGTGTCGATACGCGTTCCGAAGACGTCGTTTTTGAAAGAACTTCGCCGGGGAGGGAAAAAGCCGTGGAATCGACACCTCTTGTTGGCCGGTGGGCAAAAAAAGGTGTACCGATCCACGGAGACAGATAACGAGAAGACAGACGTGGCGGGCACCGAGATCGTGGCTGCGCGGAACGATCTCTTAAGCTTTCAGGTCAGGTGCGCTCGATGTCGCGCTCTCGCGCACTCGTCCGACACGATATATGTTTCCTCTTTCGACGCACGTACGCGCCACGACGAATTTATATGTCACACTGGAATAGGACAGTCGTGGGGCAATCTCTTTTCTTCTCGTCTCAGGCAGGTCTCCTCTCTTGCTCCCGCCTGCGTGGATTTCGGGACAGGTTCTCGGAGCCGTGGCCGCAACTAAGGCACACTACCACCGTATTCTGATTTAAGGAAGCGCGTCCGTCTCTCGCCTACGCCGGTTCGTCGACATCAACGACGTCGTAAAAGATTTCACCTTTTCCTCCCGAGGTTTTCGAGGCTCGATCTGCTGCTCTCCAAGTCAACGGCGCGAGGGGGAGGGAGGGACCGTGCTTCGCCTATGTTCGCGGCCATTGAAACTTTTTCTTTTCTTTTTTTTTTTTTTTTTTTTTTTTTTANTTTTTTTCAAGTCGTGCGACGTTTCGTGCGTCGTCTCGTGTATCGCACGCGCGCTACACAGTTCCGTTTCTTCTCTCTCTTACCTCTCTTAAGGAGAACGCTGCTTTGCTGGGTACGGATTCTAGGCGTCAGCGACGAACAGTTCCACCTGTGCCACATGAATTGATGCTGACACTCGGCTATCGCCATTTGCAGCCCCTTGATCGCAGCCACCGTCACGTCCGGGTTTCTGTTGCACAAGTCGCGCTGCTCCTTCGTCATCCCTGGGATACCGTTGCAGACCACTGCGTTGCCGCTCACCCAGTCGTCCACGGAGTTGCTCATTAAGCAGGTTGCGCTGCAAATCAAACGGAAATTTGCCAATTAAACTCGGGCTCGCGCGGCGGTTGATGGTCGGTTTTTCGTGAAAGCGGCCGTGGGCACGATCGCTTTGAGTGATTCTGCTTCCAGGGAATTTAGCCGAACACATTCCTCCGTGCTTATGGCACGCCGCAATCTCCTTACGATCCCTCGTTTCGCTCTGTGCAACCGTGTTACCACGCGTTACCACCGCCGTTATCGAACCCCCGATCATGAACGCGGCCGCTTTTGGATTCGTCGTTGATTAATCGAGTTCTCCCTTCAAGTAGCCCAAACGTAAAATTATTCTACAAACTGCGCGCTGATACAGCACTCGGACCGAGAAAGAGAGAGAGAGAGAGAGAGAGAGAGAGAGAGAGAGAGAGAGAGAAAGAGAGAAAGAGAGTTGCACACGCGTCCGCTTTGATACTGGCGCGCATCTAGCACGCGTCGTCTGTTTTCCATTAGACAATTTTATGAGGCCGGGGTCAAAGATGCAGATACCTCTCAAAGAGCCAGTCGAAAGAGTGTCTGCTCGTCTTTTTCGTGGCTTGTATCCTCTGTTTCGGTATCGGTCGTCTCGGTTGCTAATCTTTTCTTTTTCAGCCCCCATTCGTCCCCTGTCCTTTCGCATCATCAATCGCGATAACGCCGTTCGTATCTCGAAAGAAGAGCTCTCTCAAGCGCTATCTTAAGCGACAGCTTCTATCTAGCGGTGGAGCGTTACCAAGTAGGCCCGCGGTGTTAATCAAATTTCCAGATGAAAGAGAACGAAGGGTTCGAGAACGAAGAGTCAATCCGCGTGGAAGGATTCGCGATATTTCGCGGAAGATGCAGATCACGGGTTATGCGTTTGCAGCGACGGAAGAAGGGATTTAGAGCCGGTTCATTCGTTGCTGACCGGTCGGAGTGGTCAATTTTTCTTCTTTTGTTTTCTTTTTCTTTCTTCCTTTTTTCTTTCTTTTTTTTTTTTTGCGGAGGATTCTCGGGGTCTTTCGAAGTCTGGAAGGATGTCACGGACGGGTGCAGGATTCTCGGTGGGTCGGTTATCTGCGGGTACAAATTAGTCGACGAGCTTCTCCTAAAGTAAAAGCTGTGTATAGCACCCGCGCGAACGTGGAAAAGAGAGAAAAGAGAGATATAAAGGGATCTGGGAGGACAAAGGAAAAAGGAAGAACGTATCCGGAGGATGCGGACGATGCGGCGAAGGTGGTGATGGTGGTGGTGGTGGTGGTGGTGGTGTGTTGTCGATGGTAAAGGAGAGAAGGTCCTGGCAGCTCGGTTTCTGGCGTAGTGTGGGAAAGGACGGTGGTGGAAGACCGAGATTTTAGGGTCGCAGAGGTTATTGAGGGCTCCCATTACCGATACACCGTTGCATCGCTGTTATCTTTCGCGCTATTGATGATCTACCGAAAGCAGATTAATGATCTTTACTCCTCGAAACAAATTACCAAAGACATCGCGTACCTGTGCCGAGTCTTCCCGTTACACTCTCCTCTCCATTACACCTTTGTTGTTTCTCATTTTTACCCTTCCCCGTTTTTCTTTTCACGTTTTTCTTGTCACACCGAGGAGAATAAATAGGACTTTGAATTTTTATCTCTCGGCTCGTACATACGTGTAAGTACTTCGTATGTGGTGGACGTGTACATATCGAGGAAATGTGTAATAAGGAAGAGAGAGAGAGAGAGAGAGATTAACCTCTCTTTCTCTCAGTTCATATCTTTGGATCGTGTTCTCCGAACTCGTGGGAAATCGTCGAGCAAATCAAAGGTCGAAGACGCGAGAGCGCGTCCTGCATTTTTGCAATGATCCAAGGGGTCGCCGAAGAATCCAAGATGGCGTCGGGGATGCACGTGTTTTATTTAACTTGTTTGCAAGGAAACAGATGAGAAAGAGCGAGAGGAGAGGAAGAGTGTTGGGGAGGGCAGCGAGAGGGAATCACGGAACGGAATTTCGCGTTTAATGGAGGTATATACCCGCGGAGAGAGAACTCGTTACGAGTGACTCGCGAGAATTCCTGCGGCAGATATCGAATCGCTTTGCTTCTCTTATTTTCGCGGGGTCGTGCTTCCTTCTCTCGGTCTCTCGGCATCGCGTCTCTCGCGTGTTCTCGCTCGATTCTCGGCTCGATTCGGAAGCCGCGACGTTGAAGGGACAACGTCGAGATGGTGTATCTAACGTCGAAACGACGTGGACGTGGAAATCGGGCGTGGGCGTGATGTGTTCTGTGTCTCCATGTGCGTGCGTGTGTGTGTGTGTGTGTGTGTCTCGAGTGAAATTGGCGCAACAGGGAGTGACAGGCAGAGGGGTGCTAAGCGGCCGCGTCGCGCAAACTGGTTTATCGACGATTACATCACGGGAATTATTCGCGATGCGGTAATGCAATGTCGTTCCGTAAATACGCTGAGAAGCGCACGCGTACCTATATCTGCGCTGCTCGTGCGTGTCGGTGCACGTACGGCCTTGTTCGCGGATGCTGTTTGTAATTATTTACGAGGAGCGTGGGCACGAAGGAGAATACGCCGCGGACGCAGTGGTCAGACCTACGCCTGCAGGCACTTCTATCTCAAAGACACAACATTGTCACAGATAGTCGAGAATGTTTGTCGTTTCGTGTACCGAGGACGAGAGCGAATCGTATTCTTGGAAGTAACCATCCAAGGAATTTATCGCGGTTCTCGGAACCGTCCTCCGCGTTTAACTCCGCGTCCCGGAAAATGGCCGATTTCCTTCGCTGCTCGGTTAAAGAATGTTGCTCACGCGAAACGAACCGGCCGCCGGGCGCCCCTTTGCTCGAAGAAAGATTCGATTAGAGCGTGCAGGGCGTTCGACACAGTGCCAGCCAGTATCGAGAAGGTATAATGAAGATCGCAGCGGGATCGTCTGTTGTTCGTGGCACGAAGCTGCTTGAAAGAGCCTATTTGCACTTCGTCATTGTGCACTCTGCTTCGGGAACCGTCGAGCGCGGCCGTCGTCGAGGCCGTAGCGTTTCGAGAGTTTTGCAGATTTTTCCGTAACAGGTGGAAAGACGGACGAGCGCAGACGAAAGAACCAAACCGAAGAAATCGCGGCTTGCCACTGGGTTCGCCAATTTTTCCCAGTCGAATCATCTGTTGGATCTGTCGTTCTCCCTCGTTCCTCGATTCCCATTTCCTTTCTTTTTTTCCTTCGAGATTTTCGTCGTAATTTTCATCACGGTCGTTTCTCCTTTGTTCTCCGTGCCTCTGAGACAAAGATCACCCGTGGAGCGAACGATTTGCACCAGTGCTCAACGCCCGACTTATTTTACTTAGCGATATACGATGATCGCGCGGCTCGATCATCTAAAATAAACAAATATTTCTCGTTCGATGGTCAAGACTCAACAAGACACAACGTGACGCGATATCGGACGTAAATGATTTCGTTCGCGAGTCGGACACGCTGTACGATTGATACAATAACAAATCGTGGAGGATAAGATAAAGCGAAGGATGATTCTCTCGCCTCTGTAAGGAGGAGTATTCTCTGTGCAGAAATATACGTGGGTACTTACCGACGATTCTCGAAGAGAATCAGCAACAGGGCAATGGTGGGTCCGATCCTAATGGCGATTCTAGACGGTGGCCCTTCGCAGACGCGTCCTGATCGAGAAGGAGGCATCCTGTCATCGCCCCGAGGACGTTCTCTTATTCTTTGCGCGGTTTGCCCACTTTAAAAGAGTCGAGTGCGACCCCTCGTCCAAGGCTGCACACCCCTAGCACCCGAACGGAAGGACCCCTCGCTCGAGAGACGATCCGCCGTCTCTCTTTCCTTCTTTCTTTCTTCCTTTCTCTCTATGTGTTTCTGTACGGTTTTTTTCCCGAATCCCTCTCCTACTCTTCGTCTCTCGTCTCTGGCGCGGTGCCTGTGATCAGCAGCCTGGCACGCGTCGAGGACTCCTCCTCGCCCCGGGCACCGGCGCTTCTGCTTTGACGTTCAGTACGATTCGAGAGCTTCCAGTTTCGCCGCTTCGAGGGGTTGCTCCGAAAACTACCCCGTGACAATATCCTCGATGACGATCGAACGGTTCGTCGACCGACCACCGTAGATTTTCACCCCGTTCTTTTCGTTTCTTCCTTTTCCTTCTCTCTCTCTCTCTCTCTCTCTCTCTCTCTCTCTCTCTCCCCCTTCCTTTCCCTCTGTCTTTCTTTCTCTTCTTTCTACCCTTCTTTCTCGCTGTTCTCTCTATGCCTTCAGATTCTTTATTACCGGAAGTAGCTAGCTAACTAACTAGCTCAGCTGGATACTCGATCACCTTTGGTCTTCCTCCTTCTCGTCTTTGGGGAAAAATACTGTTGGTATCAGAGTCGGAGCACGGGAAGAGTACGTTCTCTGCTCGTCTCTCGAGCTACTTTTTCGGGCGAGTTCTCGTTCTTCCACGACACACTGACACTACGCTAACGGCCGTCGCGAACGTAACACCAATACGTCGTCGCGATTGAACATGTTTCGCGCAACTCCTTTTTTCCGCGATCGATTCGATCCTCCTCAGGTATCTCACATCCCACGAAACGAGAGAACACTTCCGGACTCGAAAAACTGTTTATCCTCGGCCGACGACGTGAACGCGCGTCGCGACACCCTTGTTCGCCAAGCTCGTTGCTGGGTATTGTGGCATTCTGCTCGTGGTTCCTGCACCCTCCGTAACGTCGAGCACCGATCGGTGGCGTGGATCCGCGTTTCCTCGTGATGGTTTCTGCTCTCTTTCTCTCTCTCTCTCTCTCTCCCCCTCCCTCTCTCCTTTCTCTCTTTCTCTTTCCCTCTTTCTCTTTCTCGATTTTCTACTCGGTGTTCGTCGCGGATTTCTCAAACGGTGGACGAAAGACGCTGGAACGTGTCGAAGAAAAAGAAGAAGGTCGACGATGGTTTGGTACTTCCGGTGTGTGCGCGCGTTCACGGCGAAGTGTCAAGCTCAAATAAAAGAAAAGTCGCCCTCCGGGATCTCTTACTCCTCCCACGCACACATCCCCCTCCTTCGACTTGTGTTCCTCTTCCACCGTTGGTCTGGTTCGATCTCTCTTTCTCTTTCTCTTTCTCGCGCGCGTACCACCACGGCTATCCTTTCGTCCGTGCAAACAGTCGAATAGCAAACTTCCCGTGGTCGCGTTACGCAACGAAACCGGCGACGATGGCGACGAGAACGAATGCAACGACGACGACAACGACGAGGACAATGACAATGACAATGACAATGACGACGACGCCGAGCACGATAACGAGCGCGCGCGTGTGTCGTTCAACGACGATCGGCCGTCGCGTCGCGCTATGTCCCGTGGTGATGGAACGTTCCTTCGACGGTGGTGCTCCTTCGAATCGGAGAAACGATCGCCGGCGCGTGAGTCAACGCAAAAAAAGAGTGGCGAGGTCGAGTGGAGCCGAGAAAAAAAAAAAAAAGAGAAACGAAAAGGGGTGGAAAGAGCGGCGGAAGGACGGTGGTATGCGATAAAAGGGAGATGGGGGAAAAAAGAAAGTGTTGGCCAGGACCGCGCGAACACGGCTGACACGGAGAAGAAGGGAAGAAGAGCGTCGTCGGGAAAAGAGTGAAAACGACGAAGGGTGAATCCTCGGGTGATTGAGGGAGAAGAGAGGGAGAAAGGCTGCCCGATAAGCGGAGACCGAGCCGCGTTTGACGAGCGTGATGGCCGAAGAAGATTCGCGAGAAAGAGACCACGCAGGACCACGCACTCTCGTTGTCGCTGTGTTCCTGCGTTCGTTATCCCGACACGCTACTGCGAGCCGAAGAAGAGATGGACAGAATCTGATGATTCCACCTCCGTTCAAGCCCGACGAGGAGCTGTCAGGGAGATCGGTCTGTCTATGATGAACTCGGTGCGCAGTGCGCGACTACGGGGGCCCTCCTCGCCCTCCCATAGGGAGAGAAAGGAGCGATAGGGAGCGGTGAGCACGAAGAAACCAACTACCCCCCCACCATAGCCACCACCATCTAGACACGACCACCACTACCGTCGGCCACCACCCTGAGATTCAACACGAAAGAGAAAGAGAGAAAGAGAGAGACAAGGACGCACGATCGCAAGTGAAACTACCAACGGAGATGGAAGGACCGCCGCGAGACCGGTGAGGCACCGAGATCGACAGAGACGAACCGAGATGTAGCACGGAGCTAACCAAGAGACGAACGGAGAGCCCAGAGAAAAAGAAATAGAAAGAGGCCAGAGGAGAGATGAAGAGAGAGAGATGGTCAAACGGAGGAGAGTCCGTAGGCTGCTTCTGCATCTCCCTCTTTTTTCTCCCACTTCTGATCATCTCTTTCTCTCTGATTCTCTCCAGATTTTTCTTCTCTCTTCCTTCCACTCCCCCCCCCCCCTCTCTCTCTCTCTGTGTCTGTCTGTCTGTCTGTCTGTCTGTCTTGTCCTCTTTCCCGAACGCAATTGCCTGAAAACGTCTCTTCGCGGACCAACAGGTATTTCGATCCGATTGTTTTGCACCTTACTATTTCCTTTCTCTCTCTTTCTCTTTTTCGCCCAAGGGAACGTTGCTGTTCCGCGAGATCGATCGTTAAAATCGTTCCATCGCGGTGATTCACGGCGCGACGATTCATCTCCGAACGTTCATTCGGATCGAAAATTACGGGCGATCGGACGAGCCGTCGCCGCGCGAGAGGACGGAAGAAGAAGGAGAAAGAGCGGAAGAAAGGAAAAAAAGAAGAAAGGGAGGTTGCCCTTGATCACGTGGCAGGAAAAGTAGGAGGAGCGAACTTCCCCTACCTCGCATCCCTTGGAGGATGCTCAATCGGCATAATTGAGGTTTATCTCGTTCCCCGACTCCGCTTTCCGCCTACTCAACCCTACCGTTTGTTTCCCTCCCGTTCTTTGCCCGTTTCCGTGCAACTCTACAGACTCACAGGAGCGCGCGCGCAGATTCCACTGGACCACGCGCGCAGGGGTTGCTCCGTTTCGTCCTGAAATAGTAACTCTCCGCGTTACTTCCTCGACGGAAGTTGAAATGTTCACACACTCGCGCGCACCGTTCGCATCGTGGCCCGTACGCCCGGTTAAAACGAAAGGAAAATTAACGGTGCGAACCGAAACTCGCCGAATTTCATCTTACTTACCTAATAATCGTTTTAACCGTCGCGTCTCTTTGTCATTCGAGCCAATTAGCGAGGCTCTCTCGGCTGTAACGGTCGACGAACGCAATCGAATCTGACTCGATCTCGCGATTAGAAGGGTGAAATAAGGGAACTCTCGACTCCCCCTCGGTTCCACCTTTGACCAGTCCTTTGTCCCCATCTTCTCTCCTCGTTCTTTCGATGTTCGATCGTGTCGCGCCGAAAGCGCAGATCTCACGGACGTGGTCGCTGAGCTGGCAATTAGTTGGCAACGACCCCGTTCGCGTTGCGCCGATGTGTATCGTAGTAGTTACCCCAACGACGTGCCACGTGGTCGAAGATCAAACGACATCCTGAATCAAAGCGCACGCGGTCGGGGTCTCCGGAGGATCGCCAGAGACGCGGATCGAAACGCGTGGAACTCGTTTGACGACGCCCGTGCCGCAATTTACCTCTACGTATCCTAATTAGAGTTCACGTTCCTCGCGTCTTTTCCTCGTTTTGTCCTCTAAGTACCGATAACCCTCTCATTCTCTCTCCGAAGAGGAAGAGCTCCGAGCTTCGCGCGGCTCCGTGATCGTCTTCAATCGTAGAACGAGTTAGAAATCGGACGGCGGAGGTCGGAGGTCGTCCGATCTCGAGGAAAAGGTCGAGAAAAAGGAAAGTCTGTGTCGTTTCTCCTGGTAAATGAATTTCGTGGCCGTTCGTGGCAACCGCCGTTTGCACAAGTTAAAAAAGCATTTGTCAAGGCACGCGGACCGATCTTTTTGCTCGTGCATGCGAGAACCAACGACTACGTTCCATTCGTTTGGTAGTGGACGCTCATTGCCGAGCCGGGTACCTCACCGCGATAAGATCGTTCGTGCTTCCAGAGGAGTTTCTTCTCCCTCTCTGTCCCGCAACACGGCTTTTGCTGTCTCTTCTTTCTCTCCTTCGGATCGTTCTCCTCCCGCCCTCCTTTTCAACGTGTACCCTCTGTCATCCTATCTGGGTGCATTACTTATCGGGCTATCGAGTGTCCTGACCATGATCTTGGCACGCGAACGCCGATACCATCGAACCACTCGATCATCCTATCGCCGTGCAATGCGCCCTGGTGCACTCCTCGCTCGGAAGCCTAATTGGCCGGCGTTCAAAAAGGGGTATAAACCCTCTCACTTTCTTTCTCTCACCCCACCTTCTTCCTTCCCCCCCCCTCTCTATCTCTCTCTTTTATCTTTTTTTTTTTAACCCGTCGCTCTCTCGTTGTTCCGAAACGTCTATTTTCGATAAGATTTCGTTCGTTCGTATTCGATTGCACGTGCGTACGGTCGAGCGCGATATGTTCTCTGCGCGAAGAAAACTACCGTCTGCTCGCGTGTCACGCTGTCGCCCGTGTTACCCCTTTGGAGGTATGAAAATCCCGATAAACGAATTATCTTTCACCGCAAAGGGTGTCGTACGTACTTATCTTTCTCGCCTTCAGTCTCGCCTCGTCTAGCTCGATTGGTCAAACCATCCTCTCTCCCGTAATTAGTTCCCTCTCCACACCCCTTAGCCTTTTCTCCCCCTCCGATTTTACAAATCAGCGATTCGACCGATTCGTCAGAGACGCGTTTCGCTGTGCCAGAAAAACGCTTCACGTCTCGAGCGTGATAATCGATCGATTCTCACACTCGTTTTCGCGGGACGTGGCAGAATGGATCTTTCTCCGTTAGCGGGACGTGATTGAGACGTCGATCGGTTAATCGAGCGAGAAATTCCTAACGAGAAGCGCGGAAAAAGCCGCGCGACTCATCGAGCACCACCGATCGAGATCGAGATCAAGAGCCGGCGATCACGCCAACTGTGTGAATTGCACGTTCATTGTTCGTTGCGGATCGGTTCGAAACGAGAGCGTGGCCGGTTCGCCCGATTGAAGGAAGGTGCGGGGAGCTCTGGCGTCGGCGCGAGAGAAGCCCTGGCAATTCGAGCGATCCGCTCACCATGGAAACTGTGGATGGAGGCTGTGTGGGAGCTACAGAGGCCGAGACAGAGAATTGTCCGGAATGTTTTAATAATATGCATTCC